CAATTATTTAGTAGGTTAAGTTTGCTTTTTTAAAAAAGGTTTTCTGGTCAATACATAGGCAGGTTGAAAGCTTAACTAGCAAGATTTATAAAAGTAATACACATTTAATGAAGTAAGGATAGCACTGCCTGAAGCTAAAGCAAGATTAAAATTTACACAGACTACTAACTGTCATGTTTAAGAGCTCACAATGACTGCCAATTAAAATGTGGGACATAACCTCCATCTGTATGGTCTACTTCCATACATTCTGGGGATTTTTCCACTTTGGATAAAAAGAAGTCTGGAATAAGCTATATCAAAAACAAAGACATAGAATTAGATAAGACTATCTTCTTAAGAATAATAAATTTAAGTTTTATTTACTGAATAATAAAAACTATAGCTAAAGAAAACAATATAAAATGAGATATATTTAAATAACTAGCAAAAAGAATTAACTGGGGAGTGTAAAACTCAGTTATTAAACAAAGTACAGAGCTTCAATTCACTTTCTCTTTCCAAAGAGTTTCCTGAATAGCCAAAAGCTGTCAATCAGTAGCTATAATACAAGAAAAACAAGTTCCAACTCATCATCTCTAGGACTTTACCAATGGATCCCTCATAAAGCAAGAAATGAGTCAAGAGAACGTCTGAATCCAGATGAATGTATGTGGGAAATCAGGATATATATTCAGTAGCATATACTGGAGTCTCTCCCTTCTTCATTCTCAGTTTATCTGTACACCCTCGAACAGAGTTCACAGGAAAATAATCTTAACTTACCATACAATTATATTTATAATTTTCTCTCTCCCCTGGCTGTATCTGACACTCATTTGTATTTTTATAAAAACATAATTGAACTCCATTTTAATGGGGCCAGATCAAAAAAAAAATTTTTTTTTTTTTTTCCCAGTTCTAGAAGAGACTAAGACAAGCCAGGAGTGAGAACCACTGACAAACACCAATGCTGAAATAAGCCATCGGCAAAGTGTCTGCATGTTGTGGTGGGGGAGAAACATATTATGCAAACCAACATCTAAAAATATGCAGTGTCAAATGGATGCATACTATTCTATCATTCAGGTCCTTGAGCTTAAAAAGATTTAAAAAACATAAACTGGTCCTAAAAACTAAAATTTAGTTTTCTCTAAATATGTAACTATTAGGGGAGCCTAAATAAAAAGATAGATTAACATGGGTTTGAGGAGGGTTATTTTGGTTGCAAGTCTGAAGCCTTGGCAGGCAGAGACTATGTGTATTTCAGCTCAATGGTGGTACTCTCAACCAGATGGAACACCCGTGTGGCAGAGCAAAGGAAATGATAAGCTCTACAGGCCACAGTGAGGCTACACACCTGGAGAGAGTCTCTTTTAGGTGGAGTAAAGAGCCAAGTGGTACTGATATCACCAGGAGGTGCAGTTTAGATTTAATTTGAAGAGCAGTAAGAACAGAAGGGCTCATGAGAAAGAATACAGACAGTTGTATAATGGAGGGAAAACTGAAGAAAGCCAAGACAGCTAGGAGGCTGCTTTGGCAATCTAAGCAGGAGAGATCAAAGATGAGAAACCGGAGGCAAATCTCAGCTGTGGGAAACTTTCTGAAGGACTTGGTGAAAGACAACATAGATAAGATTTGATAAAATAATAATTTTAACAGAAAAATCAGAAAACCAAATAATTATTTCATTTTCATTCAAACATTCTGTACAGACCACAGTAATGTTTTTCTACCACCTCCACTATTTCAAAATAATATNGAATGGTTATTTCTAGTTGGAAGGGCTAAAGGCACTTCCAGGCCAGGCAACATTCTGTCTGGGGGCTGGAAGGATAGAGAAAATGCAGGAAAAGAGAATATTATTTAGACAATGTTATTGCCAATTTGGCCAAATCAGAAAAAATTCAATTCACGCAGAAACGTATTCAAGACTAAGGAACTAGAAGTGTCATATCAAATGTTAAATGAACAGATTTTATAAAGAATTTAGAATGATAGTTCTGTCAGGATCATCATCCTTAGGTTTTACTGTTAGCTCAGCAAAGTGCCTTTCGACAGTAATGCACATATTAACCAATATCCCATTCCTGTCAAAATAAATATAAACAATCTAAGTTAATGAGATACAACAGAATGTAAACTTTATACTAACCTACCAGTTTTAAGTTTTAAAAGACAAAACCCATTTTTATTTTCTCCTTCAGAATAATGTCATAAAAGGTGATACCTATTTTTTCAGGTTTGAGTAGCTTGAAAGAGACTGTTGAGGTTCCTTTGCCACCTGACTTGGTTGTGACAATTATGTCTCCTTTGTCATTTTTGGCTTGTCCCACTCGACATACTATTTTACTTGCAGACATCCATTCCGCTGTCAGGAGGCAATTATGTCCACAAATTGTCAAACCTGAAAATAAAAGCATACATATGACAAAGTTCAAAAGAACAATGGTAAGACTTAGTCATGTCTATTATATGAAAAGATAATTCTTTCTTCTCTTAGTAATACCAGTAATACCAAGAACTGAAAACTAAATATAGAAATAACATTTTCTTATTGAATAGTTATTTCTATTATTGAACATACCCAATATTATCTGCAAATGTACTACTGTCTCTATTGATTTTTGTCTAATCTATTTTTTCTAATATTTAACACTTCTTTTAGATTATATTTAAGTTTCTTCAAACATCCACGAAATTAGATAATAATGACCATAATAATTATGTGTAGGCATTCCAGATTAGTTACACTATGAGAATCTTAAATTGCTTTCATGGATTTTGGAAGGGAAATTATTGTTTTTATTTAAAGTCTAAGTTATTGATATAAAATTCTAAAGTGCAAATAAATGTATAAATCATTCCCTAAACACATACTGATCCATCTTCCTAAAAATAATCTGCATGTAGTTTTACTAGTGTCCAATTATATGTAACAGAATGAACTAAAGTAGAC